CATGGGCACAGCTATATCTATGTATAATAAAAGAAATCAATATTGACAGAAACAAGGAGTTAAATCAAGAACAATAAAGTGAAACCTAAATGTAAGAGTTCAATCTATAGTCTTTACCCAAGCTTTGTAACTTGATCCTCCATAAGTGAGATTAGAGGTGATATAACAACTGTTGTTCCTCCAGAATACAAAGACGGGTACTGGTAACATAAACTCTTTCCATATCCTACATAAAGATATGGATTACAACTAATGTAAGTAACCAGACGGTATATCAGAATTAAAAAATCACAATGTAGAGTATTTGGCACAAGTATTTTGGTGTATAATAAAAGAGAGTTGTGGTTATCCATCACAGTAAATAAAATAAATATATCTTGTTGGACGTTTTCATGTGTAGTATTGCTGAGTATTTTGACATGTTATTTGGATGAGCCCGCAGGATGAGTTAAAATACAAACAATAAGTAAAAATACTCACTGATACTACACACCAAAATGTCCCATAAGTTATTTGTTATCTAACTACTTTATTTCATATGCATTGAAAGGCGAAGCAGATAGAGAAGCCTAACATGTGTAGCTGACAGGTTAAACAGGGTTTTTTTACCATGATTCCAAATGACCAATTTTACAAATTCATAGGATATTTGTACTTGATTCATGTGTTATTTGTACTCTACTTAGTGTAGTTGGATAATAAATGATAACATAGTATTTATCATTTGATGCACCACAATATAGTCTCCTCCAATTAACGTCACTTGAAAGTGATGATTTTGTAGATCATATATTCCCATAATTTTTTAAAAATATACCAAATTAACAGTCTCTATCTAAACTATCAGACTATAATTAAGAACAAATGCTACTCCTTGGTTCAAACTACACAGTGTTTACATGATGAAAGTGGACCAAAGAGTATATTCAAGAGTTACCTGTTGCCATTACAACACAAACATCTCGTTTAGAGTTAAGCACTTCATTGATTATCTTCCACTGCATACTGAAATATATTAATTTTTTTTTTAAAAAGTATGCATCTAGGAAAGCAGTCAGAGGTAAAAATAAAGGCACACACAAGTTTACCTATCAAGTACAAGACTGAGGAAAACTGATCTACTTACGGTCTGAACTTAGAATGGCCAAAATATTTCTTTAACACATCTATGTGTTCAGCATCTGGTTTAATGTCATTCATATCTACTGAAAAGATTTAAAGGAAGAAAAACAATTGCAGACAAGGTTTGAAACAAAACTCAAATAAATTTTTGGAAATATGAAGTTTTCAATTAATGATTCTACAATTCTAATTATTCATCTTTTATCAATAAGTATTGTACTTGATTAAGATTATTTTGTTATTCAAGTTATCAGTATCACAAATATTCAGTGTTTATTATTAAGTTTTGACTAAAGATATCTTTCAAATAAAACTGATTCTAATTAAACCTATAGCGAGTGAACCTTATCTCAAGAGAGAGGAAAGCAATACATCTTATTTGTGAAGGACACCTTCATTTTCTGTTGATTGGTCAACATCCTTGTTTCCAGCATCTAAAATCTCTGAATCAGCTTGACTTTGATTACACAATTCTTCAATGTCAACCTGAATGAGAAGGAGAAGCATACCTATCTCTTTACTGATCAAAAACTTAAAACACTTGTACTACCTATTAAAAAAGGCTTATTTTCAATGCTGTGTTAATTCCTGTTTGTTAATGGGTACAAATGTCAAGGGTTGAGTGTCCAATATAATAATTGAAAGACATTGACGATATTGAATGGTTGGATTAAGCCACAAATAACTTTTCCAACAGATTTGAGTGTCTTATACATTATTCCAGCAGCTGATAAAAATCACACCCCTAACTTAGTACATACAATTTTAAGCTACTTCTTAGTGTTGGTTGTAGGAGACCAAATGATTCTGATACATCAATTACTTTGAATCTAAAACAAAATGAAATAAAATTGAGTAATTCTTTCTAAGAAAAATAAAATTGTTGTCATTCTTAATACCTCCGCCATTGCTTGATCAAACTCATCATCACTCAACTCAATCAGTTCATGTGAGTCATCACAGTGAGAACTGCTTAAAATCAGTTTTCCACTGGCATCCCTAGAGTCCTGTGGAAAAAACAATTCAGAATAATATTATTTGTTTCCAGGGACAGAATGAAAACACTGCAGTATTCACAACAAAATATTTTAATATGCTTTTATATGCCATATAAAGCGCGCCACACAGCCACGAAGCCCAGTGGAGCTGTAAAAAGTTTGTAGTTAGAAACATCTATATGATTCTTACCTATTACTACCCCTCGGTTCTCTCCCAAACCGAAAAAATAATTTGCCACTCAACCCTTGAAGTGCAGCGGAACAGGCTAAGCTATATAAAACTTTGTTGGTTAAATTCACATGGATATCAAATTATTAACTATCTTTGGGTAGCACAATAGTCCACAATAAATAAATTACTAGTAACTGTCCATACAAGACAAACTTACAGAGTTGTCAAAAGTTATCTCAGTTTTATAAGCACCAAGAAATTAAAACTAGGAGTTCTCCAAAACTCTCCTTGTAAAGAATGCTGGTTTATTACAGGTTACCCCCTGTATTTCTTGATGATTCCTTGTTGGTCTACTGGCACCATGAACACATAAGTGTACAAAGGGTAGGGTGTTCTTTACTCCACTTGGCCATTAGGACAGTGTCTTGCCACAATAATTAAGTTATAAAACAACTTTTTAAAGCAACAATGTTAACAAGCAATTTTTAACAACCCCTGGTTATGGTAAGCTATGAGAGTTTAAAATCCTGCCAAGTAGAGAACTTATCATGATGTCCACTGTCCAGCCTCTAGAGAGAGAGCGTGGCCAAGAAAACAGTACACTCCACTGGCAGTTCCAGTTTTCAAGTTATAGGAGCAGGTAATCAAATATAGAATTGGAATTATTGAAAATTTTTCTCTTTTCTGGTTATTTTCAGTTAGTTTGCTTCTGGTTAATTTTTTGTCATTTGTATAGGTCATACCACACCTGCATTTATACAGATTTACAGTTGAACTATACCTCCAACCTGCAACCTTCATTCACGATCTTCAAACACATTCGCTGTCTCCCCCCATGCGCAAGGTTGTAAAACACTATCTAGTTAAAACATGATTGCTCTTAACATTTCTCAGCAATGAAAAGGGAAGGAGTGTTCACAAAAGTTATTTTTCTGACAAGTTGTGAACATAATGACATTTATGAGGGGGACACTGGGATTTTCGGTTTTGTGGTTTTAGCTATTTTTTAGAACGGTTTTTCAGTTTTAGTGATAAAAAATGTTGGTTTTCAGTTTTGGTATTCATTGCAGTATGCGGATTTTCTGTTTTTAAGCAATTGGTTTTTGGTTTTCGTGAAAAATACTAACAGGTTTTTGGATCTGATATCCGATGCAGTTTTTGGTTTTTCCTATTTGACCTATCTGGGTTTCAGTTTCTCTTCGATCTGAGTGGCAATCACGTGCCTCCACTGATCTCCAATAGCCACTAAATGCAAATGTTATTGAGAGGAATGAGTGACAAACCAAGGGATCCCTAGCGGGTTCACGCGCCTTGAATAACACCCAAGACTTTGACCTTGCAATGTGGAGCATTTAGGTCAAGGTCGATCAGTTTGCAAACCATGTCTTCCAACGTGCCAAACCCACCGGCAACGGAAGAAAGTCAAGGACCTTAAGAAGCAATTGTGGATTGTGTCYTGCTTTTTTTATGAAGAGGGGAAAGGCAGCGAGAATTTCAGAAAGGAAAACAAGTTTAGATGCAAAGTGAAAGAGGAAGAGAGAAGCTTGCACAACCATAAAAACAGCGTTTGGTAAGTCAATCGTACCAACGTCATTATTTACATTCCAATAGCTTCATCACTATATCCTTTACAGGGGTGTAGCATCCATATCCGCACATATGCCTGTGCGTACAGCCGAAATCTGGAAAAAAAAATTTTTTGTTCCCTTATAGCATTAATTTTGTCACGGTTACCATAAAATAGGATTGATTTTAAATTTCGAATTATACTAGTGCGTGTGTTTGTTTTTCCAGTGCCTTTTCATTAATCCATAAATGACAAGAAACTGTCTTTGGCTTCCTTCGCTTGTTAACTCTCTAGATATTTTAGGAAGCCAACAACCCTTTTAGCTTAAAAGTCCCTGTGACACTTATTTTTTTTTTATTTTACATAAAAATATAATGACTCTAGAACATGTTTTGGCAACATTAGCCGTATTTTACCATTTTCTAAATTTTTTATCAAGCTCTATAATCCGTAGATAAAATGTCTGGCCGAGCAAGAGGGGACTGGGCACCATTACATTGCAGAAGTAAGCATGTGTTTTTATCATGCAAACAAGGGCTTTGTAATGAGTAATTTCCCAGGCTATTTCCATGATAGTTTTGTGTCATTATGTCCGATATTTCCTGTTATTCTGACGAAAGTTTCTCCTCCAATGACTCAGAGTTTAATTATATTCTGGAATACGTGACAATTGAATCCGAAATTGCAACTCAAAGCGGTGAGATGGAGGACAGAGAGGACGACATAGAAGTGCCAAACTCAAATGAGCCATTAGCATTATCCAAAAAAATAGAAAAGGGACAGAATGTTAACAAGTCATTTGAAAGGTCTCGAATCTATGGAAAGTGGTACATTACATGAACTTTTACCAACTTTAGTGACCGCATGTTTAAGCTGGACACCCTCATCTTCTCAAGCCAGGTTCTCTAATCTTACATCACTATTGCCCTTATTTCTCTTTTGTAAGACTTCTCAAGCCCATTTCACTTTGGATCACTGCACAACTCCTTCATCTTTAGCTGCAGAATTTATCTGCTGCTAGCATTCCCGTAAAGAATGAACAAAAGCAAGATTTAGAGTAATGTGCTTTGACTTGTTTTGAGAACATCCACAACTGGCCAATCAGAAACAGCTATTCCCACGGCTAAGTAACACAATCTGACAGAATTTTATCCTGACAACTCTGCCCCGAAAAGGGGAAATCCACTCCAGAAGTGTTTGATCTAATACAGGATACTTTGAATACAGCTCGTTTTGCTGATATTTTAAGCTCACCACTCATCTCAGTTAACAACTCTTGTGGACTTTTTTACAATATTTCAACAAAAGTTTTGGTTTCGGCTTATAGATGGGATTGGCTTATAGGCAAATAATTGCTGTATTGAATATATGCATGAATTCGAAGTCGGTGTCCACTTATGGCTTATTTTTCATAAAAATCCAACAGCTTCTAAAAGCTAAAAGTTTAGGGTCTTGGCTTATAGCTAGGGTCGGCTTATAAGCAAATAATTATGGTGTTGAACATATATGTGAATTCGAAGTCAGTGTCCAGTTAACACACTGCGCTCACAAACTGAATCCACCTCTTTCACCTTTTCATAGCCTCTGGACTTTGATTGCCCTCCGAAGGAATCTCGTGGAGAGAAATATTCTTTTTCGAGTCAGGAGTATTAAAAAAAACCCAAATTACACATCAAAATTGCATTTTTTCCCTCAAAAGATCGTAAGCAATAGATTCCACACCCACTTTGCTTCTTTGATAAACTTGGTCTAACTACTGTGACGTCATGAATATTTGGGTACCAGTACTCTTTCACGTGGCCAAAGAGATATGGGGAGCCTAAGTTTGCTACAATTTCAGACTTTTATCGCCTCATAAAATAACAAAGACGCATCAGAATCACTCACAAATCTTACCAGACACCTTCTACATGCTTCTATTTTTATAATTTAATGCTAAAAAATAGGTGTCAGAGGGACTTTAAAACTCTAGAGATGGGTAAAACAAACAAATAACTACTGCATTTTCTGTTGCATTTATTTATAAAAAAGTTCCGCGGAAATAGTTCGAAATGGCATTTCCGAGGCCCTAAATTTCAAAATTTTCTGGGGGAGCATGCCCCCAGACCCCCTAGTTTTGGGGCGCCTTCGGCGCTACCAGTTTCAGCGCTGTGCATTCACCTTCAAAATATCACGCAACGCCCCTGCTATATATATAATATAATGCTCGTTTAGGACGATACAGACTTAAAGAAGACTTACAGTCCTTATACACTTAGAATACGCGATATCTACACCTATGATAAATTGGAAATTCGCGATCGGTGAGGAAGATCATGACTAATTACCATGAGCGTCTGTTCCATGGCGGGAAGCAACGAAAAAGAAAAAAAGAGCGTTTCAAGGCGATTCACTCTTTATTGGACCTCGAGAGAGCAGCTGAAATAAAGCCTATAATTTGAGCAGAGACTAGAAGATACGAATGCCAAATCCGTGGCATTCACAAATACTGTAATGAAATTAGTGTAGTTTACCTTGTATGCTCCACTTATCACCACTGTGTCGGATCGATCAGGGTTTTACAACTAGGATACGAGAATGTATCGGGTTTGACAGTTTTGGATGCTGTTTTCGGTTTTGATCGATTTTTATTTACGTTTTTCGGTTTTTGATGAATTTTTCTGCGGTTTGCGGTTTCTAATAGGCTCCATTACCCCCCTCATTTAATCGTGACAATTTTTAGAGCAAGCATATAAATGAGCGCTTAACTTTTAATTTTAACCCAGCTTGAGCTGGGGTGATGTTGGCTTATTAGCAGCAGCAAATAAGAGAAACTACCTCCCCAAAGCTGGTGTTTCCTGAGTCTTTTGAGGTGTCCTCATCCATCTTTCCAACAAACAGCTCGTGTAGCTCGGCAGCACTTGACTCAATATCCGACAGTAGGGAATCTACCTTAGTTTCTTGAGCAGAAATCACGTCGCTTGCGGTGACGGCTTCTGAAATATCTCGCAAAATATTCAGGACCGTCAACACCCTCCCATGTATAACTCCATTCTTATAACTATTCATAATTTCCCAATTCAAGAATAATCATAAAATCCGTAGGCAAAATGTTCGATTTACCAGACGCCATGTTAAAATATGTAATTTTACCGCGTTTCCAAAATATAAGTTTCCAGTTCCTCACTGCCACAGTAAATCGAGAAAGCTTGAACAATACCATCCTCGGAGACCCAGGAAATCGACTTACAGCCCCTGGGTCTCCGGGGATGGAACAACACGGTTTAGGATTGCTTCCCACCTTCGCCTGTGTCCTTCGGGAAAAAATTCCTATGCGCGTAAACTTGAAGTTTCACTAAAATCTTAGCAAACTATACATCAGAAGCAAGCTTTATAAATGGTATAATAAATGCGGTTTAATTCAAACTGTAATTTGATAATTTAAGCGAGTTTTTTAGGAACTATGAGGAGTCGATAAGGGGTGGGTGAAACGACGTAGTGTTCCTCGATTGAATTTATCGGGTATCGTATGCTACAGTACAAGCAAAATGGCTGCACAGTCTTATTCACACGGCATCAATCAATAAAATACTAGTTGACCAGATATCGGCATCTAAAGTCAGAGTTGCTAAAAATATGCGAGGCGTATTTCGTAAATAGACACCATGGGACAAATATTTCAAATATCAAAATTTCCCGACACACTTTCGTTTGTCATTGTCTGGAATGTCAGGTTTGACAAAATTTGATAAAAAAAATTGGTCAAATCTGAATCTTCTATAAATTCGCTCAAAGTGGATGTATTCCTCTCGTAAACAACCCGCACCACGCCCGGAGATTATCTCGCCTCCTGAAACCGCAAACCAATGGGACAACGGGACCTCCTGGCATCAATGACGATGGATCAAGATTTCCCAGAAAAAATGTCAGTCAAGAATAACCGAAATTGATACCAAGATTCGGGAATTAGGAAAGAAATAATGATCATATAAGTTTATTTCTGTCTTCCTTTAGCAGCTGCATCTTCCACAGTCTGCCTTTCAGCGACAGCAGAAACATCAGCAGCTCCAGCACTGCCACCGTCTGTCCTACAGCGACATCAGAAACATCAGCAGCTCCAGCAGCACCAGCAGTAGTGTCATCTAGGTCTGGGTATTGTATTGCATGTACCTAAGGATTACTTTTAATCTCTTCTATACCCTCTTGGGTAGTGTATACCTGAGGGTTACTTTTAAGCTCTTTTGGATTGGCCTGCAGAGCAGGTGTAATTTTGGCAAACAAGTGCTCAATATTTTTTTCAAACACAACGAATATGTGAAATACATATATTTGAACTGCGGTTATGAAACGTGTATGTGCACAATCCTCGCAGTAAAGCGCTATTTAAGCAATAGTGAAAATCAGACCTGAAAAAATTCAGGCCTGTACGGGATTCGAACCACTGACCTCTGCGATACTAGTACAGCGCTCTACCAATTGAGCTAACATGCCAACTGGGAGCAGGCCAGCAAATTAATGCGACGTAAACCCGTAAGATGATAAATCAAACACAACGAATATATGTATGAATATATGTGAACTTCATATATTCATCGTACAACGAATATATGAAATACATATATCTGAACTGCGGTTATGAAACGCTGCACTAGTATCGCTGAGGTCAGTGGTTCGAATCCCGTGCAGGCCTGAATTTTTTCAGGTCTGATTTTCACTATTGTTTAAATAGTGCTTTACTGCGAGGATTGTGCACATATACAATATTTTTTTTTGTGAAAACTGTGGCAGTCATCTTTAATTTCAGACGGAAGTGAAAGGCCGAGGAGAGAAAGAAATTTGTACCAAGGGGGTGAGCGACAGTGAAAAAATAGGTAGGGGTGAGGGTGGGGGAGGGGTGAATATTATTCTTTTCGCCTTTCTCAGCTCTCTTTACTCGCCGTTGACTCTAACTCCAAGTCAAACATGGCCAGTTGATGATAAACGATCGCGCGCTTCCTATCATTAACTCGCCCTATTAGGACGCCTACATTGCTGGCTACCTTTTGGGTAGTGTACACCTGAGGGATACTTTTAAATATCTTCTATACCCTCTTGGGTAGTGAATACCTAAGGGTATATACGAAGGGAGGCGACGGAAATATCATCTTTTGTAGACTTTATTCTTCAGCCGATAGCTAAAACACAGAAGTCGTATCTCAAAGATTCAGTGACAGACAAACTTTATCGAATTGAATTCAAAGTAAGGACTGAAGTCCCACAAAGTGCAATTTTATTCTCTATGGATGTGACTAGCCTGTACACCATTCTGCGAAGTCTTTTATAAAGAGAAAACTCAAAAACAAGCTTTGAAGGGAACATCTGAGCCACTCCAAGTCGCTATATTCAAATTATCTAGCTGAAAGAATCCTCACAGAGGTTGATTTTACCACAGGCGGCCCAAGCGTACAGTGTGTGATTTTGGGGGACTAAAGTTCACTAACGGGAATACCTATCATATTAAGATCGAACTTTTTGCGTTAGCGTGGGCCGTTAAAAAAAGGAAAAATTTAAAAAAAATTATGTAAAAGAAAATCAAAAAGAATAATAGAAGCGAGGAATATAACATATAAAGTCTCTTTACCTTTTAATTCTGTTTTGGCAACTTTTTCTGTTACGATAAAAACTTTTTATAAGATATTCTGTTAAAGTAAACAATGATGGGAAGGCGAACCACCGGCGCCGTTTCGTTAAGGTAACTTCTCGTCTTCAGTTGCCCAGAAAATCATTTTTGTCTTTTATTTGACTAAATTGAAGTGAAACATTTTGCCAAAAGTTTCCGAAGAAAAAATTAAAAAAGTATGCAAAAGCGTCCGAGTTGTTTAGAAAAACGTGTTTTAAGGAAGGTGTCATAATTTCGTACCTGAGCGAGCCCCCTACTGGGTGAATTTTTGCGGCTAGCTCTCCTCTTCATATTATTAATATTTAACAATTATTCGCCTCAGGTTCGGTGAATATCGTCGAATAATCCCCGAGACGAAGTCGAGGGGATTATTCGACAATATTCACCGAACCTGAGGCGAATAATTGTTTTAGTATAATTTCAGAGCTGAACAACAAAGAAATGTCTAAAATCATAACGTTTTAGTAACATTTATTAACATTTTATTTTAACATTTAATATAAACCGCGTGGAGCGGTTTATATAGCGTCATATGAGGAACCGCTCGACCAATCATATTGCTGGAAACTCTTTGCTCAGCTCCGAAATTGTACTAATTGTATGTATTGTTTACATTGCGCGTTCAACAAAATTCACTCGTGGAAGCTATTTGCTTGTGGAAAAATCTTTGCTCGTGGAGAATTCAAAAGCAGAAAAAAGTCCTTAGGTAAAAAAGTAATAATGAAAATAGGCCTTAAGAAGAAAGAAGAGTTCCATTCTGCCAAGAAATGAAAAAAAATCCTGGGTAAAAGGCAGGTACTCCGCTCCAGATTTCCAGATTTCGAATTAGGAAGTCGCCGTCAAACCAAAATGTATCGCACATTAAGTTAAAAACGAGGTTTCTTTTTATAGATGCAAGTACCAGCCGTGATACAAAAACGTTTACAATCGTCTCGAATCGAACGTTTTAAAGCTTCTCAGCACATTATCCGGTTTTGTCCATTTTTACCGCGAATTTTTTTAGTTTGCCTATTATTGTGTTGTCCTCCTCAACTCACCACTGAGCGATCGAGATTTTGATAACTGTGTCTGCAATGCGTTACTTTTCTCGGGAAATCTTGTTCTACCGTCATTGACGCTAGGAGGTCTCGTCTTACAACCTTCAATATTTACTCAAGATTTGAATTTTGCTTTTTGTGCGAAAAGTACATAGATCTAATGAAATTCCCGGACTGCGCTTTGTTCGAACAAGAATATCTCTTGTTACACACAGGCTAAGCTAAATCACAGTGCTGGAGAGTTTAGTCTTTGAAGTGATCTAACAGTGGGGCGAAAACAAAGGCGAAAACTATAGATCGCCGTAAAGCTTTGTTTTTGACTATGGAGCAGCGAGTCGATTTATTTTGCTAAATTAACAGATTTCGGGCAATCAGTTTCGTAGAAATTCTAACTGAGGAAGGTAAGATGATATATGCTTTAATTTCTTACACTCTTTTCAGAGTGTTACAAATGAGGAAAAAGTTCAATTTCTTTTTACCTTCTCTCTGTTCCGTAAATGAGACCTATGTAATTTGCACGCTTTGCTTGCCTTTCTAGTCTCGTTTATATGGAACAAGGGAACCCTGGGAACGTGTCGTAATACACGTGGGAAATGCACGTGCAGGGTTCACGTGCAGAGGTTATATAACATAAAACACGTCTGCAATGATGCATCTGTGTCGTTACAGCTAAATTTTTTAATTATTTCTCGAACTCAGTACCAAGATTACAACTCGTAAAGTGTAATTATGGGCTAACTCAGCAACTTCCACCGAAAATGGCAAGATTACACGTAGTAAATCAGTCTCCATTAAACCAAGCCTCTCTGAGAAAGCAGTAACCACCACGTATAATGTCTAATGCGACAGTTCAAAGAAAAGATGAACATGTTGGTAGCGTAGAAGGTAGAAGTTCCGCGAAAAATGAGAAAGAAAAACACGCAATCCACTGGGTTAGGAAGGACCTACGCTTGCACGATAATCCTTCTCTTTTGGAGGCAGTGAAAGGAAGCGACACTCTAAGAATTATTTATGTGTTAGACACAAAAGTGGATCAAAACATTGGTATCGGTGCAAACTTGTGGAGGTTCTTGTTGCAGTGTCTTGAAGATGTCGACGACAGTCTTCGTCAATTGAATTCCCGCCTGTTTGTAGTGCGTGGTCAGCCCGCAGATGTCTTCCCTCGCCTGTTTAGGGAATGGAATACCTCGCTCCTCACATTTGAGGAAGATTCAGAACCATTTGGAAGAGAAAAGGATGCAGCAATTCGACTACTTGCTAAAGAATCAGGCGTTCAAGTAGCCGTTCGTCGGTCACACACATTGTATGATCCTCAACTGTAAGTATTTATTTCCGATTAGCACTGACGAAAAATCAATAATAAATGAATATCATATTAGAACCTCATTTATACGATTGAACAGATAACACCACTACCTGTTAAAGAAACATTTAAAACCATAATCTACCATAGCAGGATTGTTTTTGGCAAGATTTCCGTATAACCCCATACTTCATTATGCATACAATTCTTGGATAAAAGAAAACAGGCAAACCAACAGATTACCTTCGGCTTTGTTTTTGACTGGTATGGGGTTACACGGAAATCTTTCCCGGGACATGTTAATTGCTATGGGATTGTGGTCCAGAAGATGATGTTCCCACTATCTAGAGCCACTAACTGGGCTTTTCAAAACCTAGAAATCATCTAATCTATTTTTTAAAAGCCATTGGTAAGAATATGACCTAGTGAACATTTTCTGTACTTGTCAGGATAATAAAAAACAATGGTGGAACCCCACCCCTTACATACAAGAAATTTCTAGCCATTATAAGCTCATTGGGTCCTCCTGAGCACCCTGTCCCAACACTGGATGTGCATTTATTGGGAAGCTGTTCTACCCCTATCTCTGACGACCACGAAGAAAAGTATGGTGTGCCCTCATTAGAAGAACTAGGTATGGACATAAGAAAGGTTCATGCAGCAGTTTGGCATGGTGGAGAGAAAGAGGCTCTTGTGAGACTCAACAGACATCTAGAGAGGAAGGTATGTATCTACGGTAATTCAGTCTTACCTGTAACTCTTAAAGTAACGATCTCTGAGGCAAAGGAAAGTTTCTCCAATGGTAGTGATATTTTGAAGTATGCTAGTTCACTTTATATCAGAAGCTTTCTCTCTTTGTTTGCAACAATGGTGGTCTGATGTTCCATACTGCTCTGCACCATTGGTGACAGGATGAACCCCTCTCTACCTGCTTACCTCAAATCAGGTTGTTTGAAACCCTGTCAGCTTGAATCCTTGGGTTAACTGCACCCACTTATGCAGCAAATCCTAGTTTTGACCTGTTGTAGGTACCACCAACACAGCTCTATATGACTTGAAGCTTCCAGCTACTTAAAGCTTTGAGTATACAGTAGAGAATAGATTGGTGGTTTTCAGTGAATTTTGAGGAATCATTCTTTCTCAAGGCATGGATAGCAAGTTTTGAAAAGCCAAAAGTTACTCCAAACAGCCTGTTTCCAAGCCCAACAGGAGTGAGTCCTTATCTAAGATTTGGATGTTTGTCACCGAGGTTATTCTATCACAGACTTACAGAGCTTTATAGAAAGGTTGGTAGCTCTATATTGCTTTGACTAATTTGAGCTTCAAAGTCAAAGAAATTAATTTGAAAAATTCCTAACATAGGGTCCACCTTCTGTTCAAACTGGAGAAATGTTTTTGATTTGTGGTTATAACCAATGCTTTTCTTTTTCTTTTTCAGGTTAAAAGCAGTGACCCTCCTATTTCCTTGTATGGGCAGCTACTGTGGCGAGAATTCTTTTTCACTGTGGCTGCAAACAATCCACATTTTGACAGAATGGCAACAAACCCCATGTGTTTACAAATACCATGGAAAAATAACCCCGAAAACCTGGCAAGATGGGAAGAGGTATGCACTTTTTAATCTCAAAAGGATTTTAATGGTAATCTAAGTTGATAATATAAGAGGGGCAAGTTTCTAAGAAACTGTGGTGCTGTGTCAGTGGGAGTAACAAGGTAATTTGGTTTTATCAACTGAGATAAGCTTTGAAAAAGGGCTATTGCTCAAATCATCAGCTTTCAACCCTCTATGCTGGCCAAATTACATTTATTAACTCAGTTGATAAAACCCGGATTAACTTGACGATATAATTGACAGGACTGTGACAAGCAATGTGTCAAGGAATGCCAATCTCTTCATTTTTGTACCTTTTGAGGGAAATGTTTGTTGTAAGTTCAGAGCACAGATTGTATTATCTCTTTAGGGCCAAAAACCAGACTTAAGGTTACTGTGCACCTTCAGGGGTGTCTCGAGTGCAAGCGATGTAACGCGTCCGATTTAAACTGTAGATATCTAAACCCCGATATCAAATTAAAGGTTATAGGACTGGCTATCAGACTATACTGAAATTTTTAAAAAAAAATGAATTGTCGATTTTTTACGACTTCTCAATGCGAGCGCCCGAATCACCTTTTAAGAGCTACAAGTCAAAGGGAATTTGTTCGATTGCTCTCAAATTTTGACAGTAGCTAGTTTTACATATAAACAACAAAAAGTTGTCTCCGAACTTTTGATTTCTAAATACTTTTTTTTCAAGAGCGATTTTTGTACGATCACTCCATATTTTTTTAATCCTATTTAAAAAATGTTCTGTAACTTTTCACTGAAATTGAATATGGCAAATCGCAGACATGTTGTTTTAGCTCTTTGGCCGGGAAACGGAGGAAGACATTATATAAGCGAAACACAAAATTTGCTTTAACATGTAACATTTAAAAGGTGATTCCGGAGCTCGCATTTAGAAGTCATGAAAAATTCGACAATTCATTTTTTTTTTCAAAAGTTTTGGTATAGTCTGATAGCCAGTCCTATAAGCTTTAATTTGATATGGGGGTTTAGATAGCTACAGGTTAAACTGGATGCGCTACATCACTTGCACACGAGACACCCCTGAAGGTGCTCAGTAATCTTAAGATATCAAATTTAAAGAATATACAAGTGCCATGTGTTTGAAATAAAGGACAGTCACTATGAAATCTTCATATAGAGTTATATTGTTGAAAAAGTGTTTGGTTGGGGAGCAGGCAGGGTAGATAAAACATATTTACATGAAATGCTTAACTGATGGTGCTTCAGAATTTAAACTTGAAACAGAAGAAAATATCCTTGCTTGAAAGTGAAGTAACTTATTTTCAATTCCACTCTCCGAAAACTCGTTCTCAGCAGAATCAAAATGAAAGTTTTGACAGTAAGCAAGGTGTGCAACCTGACTCCAGCAGCCTTCATTAAGCCTTTTCACATTCCTTTACCCATGTTTTACACTTTTTAAGCCTTCAATTTGATTTAAGAGGATGTGTATTGTTATAACAATAGTTTGCAACAACAAACCAAGCATGTAAACTAATTTTCATTGCGTTTATTCTTCTTTAATGTTTGTATATAGGGACGGACAGGCTTCCCTTGGATTGATGCCATTATGATACAATTACAACAGGAGGGATGGATACATCACTTGGCACGGCATGCTGTTGGTTGCTTCCTGACAAGAGGGAACCTTTGGATCAGCTGGGAAGAGGGCATGAAAGTAAAAAAGATCTTTGCAAAAAATCTTTCAACAGTCAATGTATTATACAGTAATAATAATAATAATGCTAATGGTAATAATAACAATTAGGTAATTTTATCTCCATTTTAGGGTCTATGGGTCTACCATTTTAGAACTTTTATTTTTATTTGTGTCTAGACTTTTAAGGTCCTATCAGACTAAGTTCTTTAAACAACATTAGGTTCAAGCATAGTTTTAATAGGTTGATGGAACATTTATTTCCTTTAGGGTTTAGGGGCACACAATTTTTTAAAGTTTAGCTTTATCTATGTAGTAGCGACCATTGAATAGGCAATGCCTTTGGCGCCCTATATCAATTTTATTTGTAATCTGAAGCATTCAGAAGTGTATACTGTGAGATAATAACAAAATTTATATGGCACCATTTTCATTTAGCCCAATGGCACTTACAATAAAAAAAAAAAGAAAAGAAATAGAAAAGTAAATCTAACCTTCTAATGATAAACAAATATATAAATACAGGATTTAAGAATATCTAATTTTGCACCATAAAAAACATATGAATCTCTTGTGAGGTCTATATCTACTAAAGAAAAAAAAAGAAAGTTTGAAGATGATGTATTGTACATAAATCTACTGCGAAGTCTAATTAAATTTTGTGAAATCAAAATATTTTAATGGATAGATAAAAGTATGATGACTAATGATAAGGATCCTATTTTATGTATATATATATATATATCTGTATACATGTGTATACAGTGCTTTCAATAAGACCTGGCACCTGCTGAAGCTCCGACGGGTATTCTGTTGTAAGTCACCGGTTATATTTCACGGTGCTCAAGTCGCTCTTCAGCGGGTGCTGTACTGAGGTAGCCACCTATTGCAAATCTTATTAAAGGCATTGCGTATATTTAATATCTCTAGAGCACATTAAACATGTAATTTGTATATGTATTGGTCAAGCACACCAGAGGTGTAATTTGCATACATAGAAATACACTTGTGATTTATTCTAGTCAGTTGTAGTAAACCCTTTCCCTCCCAAGATCTCATTAGTAACTCTCCTTACTAATTGCCATACAATTCTTATGATGTGAGTTTGGAGAAGTTAGTGTTGGATCAACTAAGTCTCCAAATTGATATGGTGTTTTTTTGCTCCCCTTACATGCGTGATTGATATTGTATCATAAAGAGAAATTCTGTTGGGGTCAGTCAAGGGGATTAAGTGCTTAGGGATGTAACTTGAAGCAAGGTTTGTGGAAGAGCAGAATTAGAAATCAAATTTTGTGTTATATTAAGTGCCAGCTTCTCAATCAAACAGATGCAAAACTAAAATGAGTCTCCATTTTGTTACTTTTGTTTTCCTGCAGTGGAAGCAGTTAACAAGACATTGCATTTTCCTTAGTTTTTAATTTGTTGTCTTTTAATGGTTATCTTTATTTTGAGAGGTAGCTAGGGTAACATTCAACACTGCCTCTGTGTATTAACTTGAAAGTTGACCACTTTTTTTCAATGAAGGATTTCAACTTTATGATTGTAGGTATTTGAGAGGTGGCTTCTTGATGCAGAATGGAGTTTAAATGCTGGTAACTGGATGTGGCTGTCTTGCAGTGCCTTTTTCCAACAATTCTTTAACTGCATTTGTCCTGTTGGATTTGGAAGGAAACTTGATCCTAATGGCGATTTTGTCAGGCTAGTAATAACTTTCCCTTATCTTCAGCAATGTCAATAATACATTTTAAACCTTGCTTAATGTGCTGTATGCAGACAAACTTTTTATTTTTTCAAACCACCTCCCCCTCCTCCTCCCTCCCCCCCTGATTCTTAAAACTGCTTCGAATAATTTCAAACTGAAACCTAAATTTGAACCACAACTAAGCAGCTCTGTGTAATTTTAAACTGTATTGACCCTTTAAGTTTGAAATTCTCTGCCAAAATATTTCTTTGGTCAGGCAGTCCTGCCTGTGACAATTTTATGCCTTCAATCTCAGCTCAGACTTTCAATTTTTCTGTGACTCAAGTTGTCATATTTTAATTGGACTCTACAGGTATGTCTTTTTTGCTTCCTTTACTTTTCATTCAGAGAACACAACTAACATTCTAACCAATCAATTTTCATCTTATGACAACTTGATTTTTAAATTTATATCCACAATCAAAATTTACCTCATTATTTCACTGTTGTAGTTCATTCCATACCAGGGGTATATATAATTATAATTTGAGGGTTCTAACAAAATGCTGTTTCAAAAGAGTCATAATAATGATTAATTTTTAGAATAAATTATTACAGAGTGCTTTTCAGTTGAGTGTGTGTCCTAAAGCAAAAGTCCCAAGTAATCATGACAGCAATCAGAAGAAAGGAAAAGACTTTAAAGAGCCAATGAGAACTAAAAGTAAAACCAGTCAGGGGGGAGGCAATTAATCAATGGTAATTTGCTTTTGGTTTTGCATCTGATTGGTTCAGAGAGTGGTGCAGTAGTCTTGTGGAAAATCTCTCAGTAAAGTAAAACAAAACCAATGCAATCCTCAGGATTACTTTGACAGTCAGCTGAAAAAAGCTCTAATTTTGACATTGTAATAAGTAATGGTGATTGACATTGCTGATCTAAGATTACACTGCATACTGTGGATGAATTAAATGCTTTTTTTTTTTTATAGGGATCAGTATCTGTAAGTAGAACTGTTCTAAAGTGCACTATTTTGTAACTCTTTTCCAGAAAATACCTGCCAGTGTTGAAAGGGTTCCCAGCAAAATATATCCATGCTCCATGGACAGCACCAGAGAGTGTGCAGAAGGCAGCACGATGCATCATTGGCATTGACTACCCTCATCCAATGGTGGACCACACCAAAGTCAGCTGTGCTAATCTGGAAAAGCTGAGAAACATTTTCAAAGCACTTCTGTGTTATAAGGATTCATGTAAGTTTCTTAATACCCCTTACACACTCTAAAAAAGGGGGGCATTCAAGGTCAAATCTAAGGCTTGCCAAGATGCAAAGATCCAATCTTAAAAATGTGATAGTGAGGCTATTCTATTTTTGCAACACAACTTGTCATCATCACCATAATCTTACTTACATAAGAGCTTGGAATACACAGACTTTCATTGCTCATAAAGATAACTCTTTAATCTTGCATGATGATTATAGCTGCATTTTACTGAGATCACTGCTTATAATAGTTAATTGGAGAATTTAAAAGCTATGAAATTAAAAAGGCTGAAAAAAAACGTACAATACAAACAAGATTCCAAACTCAAGGCTGATTGGCATGTTGTTTGCCTGGCAGACTCCTTGTTATTTTGTGGTAGGGTTAGAAAGGATAAATGTGGGGGTTCATGTATTTCTTCATAGAGCTTTGCTTAGATTGTTCTCCCTAAATTTTTTTTTCTATCTCTTGTTTACTAAAATGCCTTACCCTCTTTCCAAATAGCTGCTATATCGTTGGAGAAGCAAGACAATCTACGAGGGCAACAGGAAAAATTGAAACAGCAAATGTTTCTCCTGGAAGATAAAGAAAATGAATGATCATGGTTGATATTAACTCTTATCTCCCAAGTGAAGCAAATCAAGTGTAGAGGGTTACATATTGTGACTGGCACATCATTGATATATCAGTGAAACACAAATAAATTTGTTTTAATTCATAAACACCTTTTACTGGCAAGAAAGGAGTGCCATTAATTGGAAGATTTAAAGTCTCCTCAGTGTAATAGAGACAGAAACCTCAGAAACTAATTTCTTAAGCAAGGAGACCAAAGGATTGTCAGAACTTGAATAAGCTCAGCTATGTCTTGAGTATGTATAGAAATGTCACACCTAATACATTTTACAGATGTTTGGAAAAAGTTCAACTATCATGTAAGAAGTTGTCTGTGCACCCAGCAAATTTTGATTTACATCTAGCTTGTCTTCACTTTTTTTTTTTTTTTTTTTTTATTATCTGTATTTAAAACCAAACATGTTGTTACACAGTTAATGGTGCAACATATATTACACATCAATACCTTATTTGTCTTCAACATCATTTCCTTTCCTCTACACAAAAGCACAAATGTTCAACACGTACTTCTCCATCAAGTGACTGGCATGAGGGATAGTAATGACTGGATACGTTTATCCAAATTTCTTGATAAAGTGCATTGTCACTGAGCAGATATTCCTATTCCTGGGCTGCAATTGCCTGTCACATCATAACCTCTTCAAGATGAAAATCAATCGTTTTTCTCATTTCACAGCTAATAAAATCATTTGTTGTATACTTTTAAGTCTGAAATGTTGATTTATTGTACTCTAAACATGGACATTTATTTAGTAACTAAACCCCTTCAGCAGCTGGTATTCCATCTGATAATGTCCATGGTTGAGATACTGTCCAAAAACTGAATATGAGGACAATCTCTTAAGGAAGGACATTATCAGCTCACATATATTAGCAAGCCAAAAGAGGGTTTATTTATTTTATAACATAATTCCCATTAAAATCCATATAGAGAGGTGACAGCAAAATTTTTTTGACTTTATTGTACTTGCAGCTGCATTTGAGATTCGCTTTCTAATGTCACTACTAGCGGACTCTACAAAGTAAGTCCATCTTTCTTTCAAGTAAAGTACTACAAGTGAAAAAGTGAAACCCTAAAGCTGGCTTTTTTTTCTTCACTGACTTTGTTTCTTTTGGACAGAAATAATTGGAGGACAAATGTCATTGTAAATGAGGGTTTAGTAAATAAACCCATTCGGGCGGCTGGCATGTTGGCTGATAATGTCCGCGGCTGAGAGATTGTCCGAAAAATGAATATTTGGCCGCGAAGCAAAGCTTCGAGGGCAAATATAAAATATTGAGGACAATCTCTCGGCCAAGGACATTATCAGCCAAGATACCAGCAAGCCAGAAGGGAGTTTATTCATTTTATAACCCCATTAATTTTCACATTGCAATTAAACTGCATAAACACAGTAAAAAAGCCAGTGGTGATCTGATGGCAAATGCGCGTGATTGATGCAAGCAAGCGAAAAAAAAAAAAACGAGTTTGGTTTCCTTCCATGTAAATAGGAGAACGGGAAAGTTGAAACTCTTGTGTTGACTATGTATCAGAGGACGAATATAGATGCAGACGGGGGTTATTTGGCGATAACTGTCCTGTGATTTTGCACCATGTGACGTAAAGTAACCAATAAAATTGTGCCAAAATTAATGGGTTGGTTATAAAGTGATAACTGTTCATTGATTTCTTACCATGTGACATAGAGTAGCCAGTGGAGTTGTGTGAAAATTGAGTGGGTTGTCTCCAATGGGCTGTACTAAGTTATTTTAGTACAATTACTTGATTGAAGAGATAGTGGGGGACTGGGAAAGATAAACTTCTCTGTCCTATTCCTCAACTTTATATTTCTGGATTAACAGTATTTGGAAGAGATGAGGCAGAGGATCAAGTGTGAGTTTTCACTCTGAGATTTATTGTACATCAAAGGATTGAATGGTCCATGAAGTTCAAAATAGTAATGTCATTTCCTCTAAGCAAACCATGTTATAGAACAGCTATGGCTGGATCTGTTCAGAAAACTACCAAGACTTTAACTTTGGTCTTACATCTTCCTGGTAGTCTTNTATATTAACCACTGGAGTCTCAACACCTCACCCTGAGGCAAGGGGGGTCAAAACCTGATCGCCCTAACACCTGATCACCTTGAAACCAGGGTAAAATGTGTCCTAAAGTAACATTCTGTCATGAGAGGAAAGTCTAGGTTGGAGTTGATGTTGAGTTCCTTGGCATAAATATTTCATATTACCGTATTTACCTCCAGAAAAGCTACAGTTTTTTTTTCTGAAAAATGGAATCAAAGTTGAGGGTGGGGCCTAAATGCACGTGCAAGCATTTTGACACCACTAAATTACAAGGAACTTCAAAGTGCTATGCTTAAACTTGTTCCACTTGCTTTTTATCACCTAACATCACTCCGCAGCAAGTCAGTAATCATACAATAATACGACTAGATAGTGAGTCCATATCTTCAAAAAAAGTCGTATTTTCTTTTAGATAGTATTAAAATACACTTAATATGGATTGGCTACTGTGGATATCAATATTTCACTGTCGATTTAAAGCTTGATTTTTTGCTAGATCATTTAATTTAAAAAAGCACAAAGGTTATTAAAATTAGTCTGTACATTGAACACATCACTAGTTTAAAAGGGAGAACTTTGAATCTCGCCTTGCTTCACCTTTCTGTAAAATTCACACAACATATTAATTTGGGCTTAATCATCAGCCAAACAAAAATCCTGTCAACCTCAGATTGAGTTTAACCCTTCCTCTCTTGGGAGTAATGGAAAAAGAATTTTGATTAACATCATTATACTGCATGTTCAAGTGGAAAAGAGATAGGAAGAAGGAAAAATATTATGGGAAAGGTATGGAAAGTAGTACACAGACTAATTTCAAACTTCACATCAAGGGGGTGAAAAGGTGGAGAAGGTTTTGAGTTGAATCCCACATCCCAACCCACAAAGTAGTAACTTCACATTATGACACAGAGTAGTCTTCGTTTAATTTTTTTAATGATTCCAATTCTTCAGATTTCTTCAATTGAGTAATAATTTAAATAGCCAATGTTTCTTTGTAGACCAATATTCAGCTTTCAACATGAATTTAAATCATAACATACTGAGAACCACCAAAACTCCTGAAGACAGAACATTCTAACTCTGATCCATGAGAATGTATAAAGGATAAAGAAATTACCCTCCAAAAGGTAAAAAGACAAGTGCTTGAACAAAGTTGACACTGACAAGCTTTGCCTTTTTCTTTTTTTTTTACGGATGTCAGTAGCAAAACTCTTTACAACTACATGTTATGGATTGAATAGAACTTACAGTGAATTGATTTAAAGTGACGTTTATTGCTCTTTGCGGGACTACCCAAAGTCTGCTTTTCCTCTGATGACATGTATTAACTTCAAAGAAAAACTTATCATTGTGATAAAATATCCTTCACAAAGTGAAGTTATTAATAATAAAATGATTAAAGCATTCTGGGCTTTTTTTTGGTAGATTTTGTGTTCCATTTTCACGGTTGGAACACTTGTATCTACAGTATTTACATTCTTTTTGAAAGATACTCTGATCATTCTTGTATGCAAGACAATCAAACTTCATTCCATTAGCCAGGCCATCGACTTGTCTTGACAATGAAATGGTGTTGCTTGTGTAATAATTTTGTACGAACTGCGAGAAGAAAATAACAAAATAGGTTACGACAGGTTTTCAGAATTGATGTTTTTGTGATATGACATTCCGTGAGTTCGATATTGTCACGTAGCTATCTTTTGTCTCGAAAGCGCACACACCCCATACTCTCCTAATATAAGGCGCAAGATTACACGAAATTTTATTGAGAGAACATCGAAATGTTGCCCCAAAAGTACAAACGCAAGGTCTCAATTAATTTAAAGCAAATGGAACATCGTTACCAAAAAGCGAAAAGGCTGCGGATCAGGAATCCCAGTTGTTATTCTTTCTTGTTGTGGAATGAATTTAGATGTAAAAGAAAGACATGTCGCAAAATCAAGAATGGTATGTACTCGAAAAACATTCCATTACAGAAACGAACGCGTTTCCTTTATTCATACAAATTCATCCAGCGACACGTGCCTTTAACTAGTTAGAAATCGTTAAGTAAACAGTTCTTTTTTCAACGAGGTCGGTGACCACGAATCCAATGGGTTTTTTGACAAAAGAAAAACAAATAAGTATTGGTGACAACTGTTCTCTATGGAGACATCCTTGGGGAATAATCGATGAGCGAGGGTAATGAAAACATCACTAATAAATCCCTTAAAACGTAAGGAACAGATTTTGCTCTGTTCATCACGAACAAAAATTCACGGATGAATTAAAATACAATTGCTGTGTTACACAACCTGCTATATCGATTTAGCGCTCATACAACTACTGACCTTTATTGAAACGCCCAGCTAATGTTTGCGAACGAACAAGTCTATACTTGTTTGTTTCGGGATTGATCTCCGTTTACTGCATCGTGCTCTCTTTTCACTCGTTCTTTGTCTTTTAGCTGATCGCAGAAAATCTGAAAGGAGATATTACAAAGGATTTATAAGAATCAATGCAAATCGTTACCAACGGCCTGGCTTATTGTCGCATTTGACCCAGTTGACAAAAGGCTATTATCATTACTACATAATAACCTTGCCTCAGTAGATTAATAGCAAATGCACGAACAAAACGACAGCTATTTCTAACGGAATAAAAAAGATCAGTGGAATCTTGAAAAAGAAAGTTGTAAACCGATTTAGTACTGAACTGAAACATTATCATTGCGGGCTGAACATGTCACATCAACGGGTATGAGCGAGGACAACGAGCCAGACATGAATTATAAATAACAGCAACATATCGCACAGAAATATGTCTTCGCTCACCCGTTATTTTTCCTGTAGATCTAGTCTTCCTGATATGTCTTAGGCGAGTTTGTGAGTGACTTCTATTGTCTTTCGATACAATCTCTTGAGCAGAGATCGAACCATCTGATGTCGACGTGCTTGAGCTCATCGAAGTAGTAGTAGTAGTAGTAGTAGTAGTTGTAGTAGTAAGTTGCGTTGAAGCGCGACTCAATCTTCCCGGTGTTTCCATCTCATTGACCTGGTCAGTAAAACGTGTGACTGCTCTTCCTCCATTAACTTTGGGAAGTAGTCTCTCCCAAACGTACTTGCCTACCAAAGGAACATCATTTTCGAAATCGAAATTCCACATCTGATTGTTCTCTTCGCCAAGTTTCTCCTTCTCGCTGAGTAAATCTGCTCGCAATTGTTCGTGGTTAACGGGTCCAAAGAGCTGTCTGCATACTGAACGGCTGGGAGTGATGTCTGGTCTCACTCGTCGAGGACATTGTGGTAGAAAGATCGCTTTAGTAGCAGTCATATCCGTGTTCTAACGCTTAACGATCAACTAACCACCTCGACCACTTATCACACTCGCCTACTACGAAATACGCAACGGGAATAAATAGCTGTGAGTAATGCTGAGAGAATAAATACCCTTCACCTTATTGGTCGATAGCTTGTTTCTATGACTACAACCCATTGTTAACACGTTTTGGCGCGAGAAATTCTTACACTCTTTAGTCGAGAAAACAATAGATATTTAAATGAACTCACAATCAACTTCCTATTGTCCTTTCGATGTCTTTTTGATAAATGAAAACGAAAGAGCGAAAAGTCTTTTCAAAGAATTGAATCAAGTTTCGATATTTCACGCAAGTAATGGTATTAAGTGCGTAATTCATGTTGACGTATTTCTGAAAAATGTCGTCATCAGCAACGAAGAGGCGTTGATTTCTTACTCTTGTACTGTACACTCAAATTTATCAGCAAAATTTTATGCTTTGAGTCACTTCCTTGGTTAAAATACAGATACAAAGACGTGATTTAAATTGGTAGACTGCAGATGTTCTCAATCAGCCCGACACGTGTGTATTAACATTTCAATAGACCTTCAAGCAAATTTGCCACCATTCGCATCACTACCACAACTTGAAACATTCCAGCCATCGGCAACATAGCCAGTCATATTCAAATCACCCAGCTAAACAACGAATTAGAAAGCTTTGGGATCCTCCTTTTTATCTCGAGATAGTTTAAAATAATTGAAATGGTTGCTTAAGCTTATATTAAGACGCTGTTTGTTTGTTTCTTGGAATAAATTGCTTCTTTTTTTTTCAATGTAAACTTTTGTCCGTTGAATTCTTTTGTTTCTAACTGGCTGCACGTGGCGTGAGACTTACAAGAATGCGATCGCACGGGCTGAACAAATGACTTTTGTGACTCAATAAAGATTCATTTCCCAAAGCCATCAATCACACACCGTATCCTCAATAAAGAAAATAGATTCTATTTAGTGTAACAGAGTTTATTACAATGCAATGGCAGCATGGTACAATGTTAGTTCACTATTGATACATGTTGCAGCTTCCAGTCTAGGTTCGGGTTGCATTTTCAAAAAATATATAAGCAATCGTTTCACAGATTAAACCATAATCTCTGAAAAAAACACACAAAAGTTAGCTTCTGTTTGTTCAAAAACAAAAAAAGGGCGTGTTTTCTAAAGAGAAAGATATGAAAGAACTGAGACAATGACTACAATCAGCTTTTACAGCGGTGTGCATGTTAGAGCAGATCTTTTTAAAAATGTACCTAGTTCGGTCTTTAACTGGTTCACAGGTACAATTTTCCTGTTTCAAGAAAAATCACAGTAGCTTTTTGAATAGCTGCCTCTCGGAGAGGAATAACTTCTAACTTTTGTCATTCTAATGAACCTACAGATTGAAAGTGTACCAGCCAGAAAACGGTTACCCCCCTCCCCCCGTATTGGAATCCTAGGAAAAATCACTTAAGCCTTATGAGCGGAAAAAGCTTTATTGAAATTTCGTCGAAATTTAAATGGTGAGCTTAAAAAAACAATCAGAGCGACTAACAATGGAGACACGTGCGAAGTTAATTACAAGGTCAAAGAAGTTACATGTAATTGTTTGCGGTGCTTTGTGTTGCGGATGAATAGCTGTCGTTAACCGCCCAGGAGTTGTAATGTGTCAGTAAAACGAAGGCAACATGTCACAGCCATGGAATACGACCTGTCACGATAACGAGTTGGGATAAAAAACCTTTTGGCATTTGGAGATTCCTAACGGAATTATTTGGGAATTGAATCAATGCAGTTTGAAAGGGCGCAAGAAAGATAAATACTAGCGATAAACATAGTCTTAGCATCTTTGTAAAATGTTTTTATTGTGAAGAAGAAACTTAAGTGGTGCTGAGACATGTTATCCGTTTTTTGTCATAAGCGTAGAAAAAAATCTTAATACTCCACGAGAAATTGCCCAGACTTACCCCAGACCTTCGGATGTCGATTTCCAGTGTGTTATATTTTCACAGTGGATGTTGACACTGAAATGTAAGGAAAACTTTCCATTTTTCATTTATATTCTAAGATGGTAAACACATTGTGTCTGTGTAGCTTTGAATTTTTTATCTCTAGGGACATGTGGTTTCCTTATGCAAAAACCTGCAGTCGCGCGCTGTCATAATAAGTCGGAAGTCCATAGGGATGTGGCGGATCTGAAGTGTCATCAGGTGGCACGCGCGCCAATAAGTTCAATTAACGGGTTGTTTACTTTGCACGAGCAACATGTCTAAGCAGAAGAACACATTTCAAGAAATATTTCAAGGATCATTGGGAATAGACTTAAGTGTTATTCATCTCTTTACCTGACATTGTCTTGGTTAACTAAACAGCTCAGGGAGGTCCTGAGCTCATTTCTAGGGCTACTTCGTTTGTTTTCGCATCGAATGAACAAGAAGGAAAGCACAATCTGGAGAGCATGCGTGTGGATACAGTGAGGTTCTCAGGTAGTGGTCTTGACAATGAACATTGTTCAAAACAAAAACAAAAAAAAGAAACCAAAAACAACTCTTTGCATAATTTGTGCGCGATTGATGAAGAGGCCCTTTAACAGGTAGTTTTAAGTTTTTTTTTTTTTTTTTACGGATTCACTTTCATTTACCGAATAAAAGAATAAATAATTTGGTACTAGAAAGCGGGTTCACTCGTAAGTCTGAGCTGTAAAGCGTGCTCAGGTTTTAAACCGCAGCTGGTAAGCACATGGCTCCACTCTCGACCTGCCTACACCTTTTCGACCTTGCCCAGGTTTTATCTTCCTAAGCTTCTCATTATAAACATAATTAAGACGAATAGCATCGAAATCAATTTTAAAAGAATGAAATTTCCTACTTCTGGTAAAGTTTTTGGATTCCAAAAGTGGTTTCGTTATTTGAGAAATATTGCACTAATCAGGTTTGGAGCAATGTTTTTTCAGTTCTTGCTTCCAGTACCTGACTTAAAAAGTGCAGCTTTCTTTTTTACAGTCGATTGTAGCTTTGACAAATCAAACGAAGCATGTAATGCGCACGTGCTGCATACCTATGGGGTTTTAAAATATTTTTTCAAATGTCTTCTCCATTGTAAAAGTGGTTCCGCTCGCTTATTGCACCATCGTTCTCGTCAAAAGAGCTGCGTTATACTATGTAAGCTACAGAATTAAAAGAATTGAGGTTGGTTCTTTGTTACCCATTTCTACTTTCTCTAATGCTGACGAGCCTTGTTTCTTTGTGATTCCGTCACGCTACCACACGCCTTTGTTGGGATTTTCATTGTATCTTACTGAATTTGCAAGGTGAAAACGGAAAAATAAAACAATATCGCAACGAGCTCTTTAAAGATGTTTTATATTCTCAGCTCTAAACCCTTTGAAAAAGTAGCTATAATATGGAACTTTTGTCAACAGTAGCGCATAGAGTAGCATGCAGCTGATGCACTGTGTCCCTGAAAAAACAACAACAACAACAACGAGATTGTTTAACTATTAATCAGATCTTTATCAGGAAAGCTGACAGACAACCGAAATGATGGCCAGTCGGGAAGCCCTCTCCAGTGTACGTTCGAGCTCAGTTAGATATCAGCAACCTCTCTCAAAAGTCAGTGGTTACCTGCTGTTGCTTATGTTTTCTTAACACTAAAGCTAGCTAACATTGAGTCCCCCATCATTTGATCGTGTAATCCGGCAATGAAGTAACTCCAAACTGATATCTCTATCTCCTTTGTAAGCGCCGGGCTAAGTTTGAAGATTTTGCGATTTTAATTTTTTGCGGATTTGCAGCAGATTGTCGTCGAAGAGGATCGTGTTTTGATTGATTTTTTTGTTCATATGCGTCAGTCTTTTGGCCAGAAAGATATTACTGACCTTCCACGGTTTGATTTGAGGCTGGAAAGGTGACTCAGTTATATAAATAGAATGTGCTTTAAGGTCCTTTAACTAAACGGGTTGATAAAAACTGAAAATATCGCATTTCCCTGTAAGTTTATTTCGAGCTCAGCTGAACTGACAGTGTTCCGGAACAGAAAATTTAAAAGATATTTTAGTAGCTCAAACTTCTATCTTCTAAAAAACCGCAAAAGTTTGTTCCCGCAAACTGCAAAAATCGATACAGGAACCGGAAAAAATAACTCGTGAAAAATTTCCATGTCACACGGTATCTTTTTCCAAGCACACTCACGAATCCCCGAGGCCCGAATTTTTCACCCGTTCATAAACCATACAACATTTTATTTAGCCATGCAATCATCGTCAGGAGTATCAAAACACCACTAAAATCTATAATAATGAACTAGATAAATTGAGAACCCTAGGCCTATGAATAAAAAAAGGTTTGACTCGATTGGAACTGGACTTGATACTGTAAAAAGCTTATTACCTGGAGTATGTTACGAATCTCTTTCAGGATCGTTCATTTATTGACGTTCGGTTTGATAAAACTGCAACCCCTTCTTCCTTCGTTTTTTTTCCTAAGTTAATGCAAATCACATCGGCGCCGCATTGTTTTCAAGCTCCTAAATCACATAAGCAGGTTTTAGTCACACATAGAGGACAAAGCTGTAAGGCGGTAAGAACGAAACACGTGTTTAAATTTTAACTCGTTACCTAAGCGATGAAACGTAGAACTTTGCAATTTAAAATTTTTACAAGCAGTTTCTTTTCTTTAAAATTTACTAAGTTTCACCGAATTTCCAAAGCGATCGAAAAACTTGTCTCCCTCTCAAGTTCTGAAGAGAGCCCGGAGTTGCCGAAAATTCATGATCAACGATCCCTGATGAAAGCGTCAGTCCAGTCAACTGAGAACTCAGTGAACTTCAAGGAAGACATGTATCTATCTTTTACTTTCAGGTTCACTCAGGGAGCCGCTTCTTCTGGATTGTAAAGCTAACCCAAGTTCCTCTATACTGGGTACATAACGTACGCTTGCCCCTCATTGAATGCATGTGATAACACCCGTATCGGGCTTGATAGACTAGACCAGTACATTATCTTAGGGACACGGCAGGAATTTACTTATGACAAGAAATCATTTTAATCACCGTGACAGTAAGCCACTAATCCAACTTAATGAGATTATAGAATCGTGATTTTTATTTTAAAAGCTGATTTGTAAAACAGATAATAAATCTCTTAGTTTTTATGTCATGAAACTGCTGAGTATATTTAACTGTATCTAAGTGACGACATGAAGATGTTCCTCCGAAAATTTTTCTCTAGTATTGAGGCCGTTTTCTTCGCACATTTCCTCCTCTGGTCAGGGATGACGGGTAGAGAAAAGAATCTCTCTAAACCGGAGCTTTTATAAGAGTTTTCTCTTGGTAGTAAGGGGCCGACCATTTAACTTTTGAGGGGGGGGATGGGTGATTTCTGGTCATCAAGAAATTTTTTTCTAGCAATCTGCTGGGCAGGATATTTTTTTCCGTTTTTGTTTCTTTTGCATTTTTTCTGTTACCTTTGGGCTGCATGTAATTTTTTTCTTCCAACAAACGCTTGCAGGAAATTTTTTTTCAAAATCACCCACCTCCCCCCGTCAAGAGTTAAATGGTCAGCCCCTAAAGTGAATTTATTCGGCTGCTGGAAATTAATTAAGAATTCTCGTGCAAACTCAATCCCAAGAGATCAAGTACACTGAATATTTCAGTTTGTTTCAGAAAACCCGCCTAAAATGCACTGCAAGCGCGGGAAAAAGTGAAGTGGCATATGTTAAGAATGTTTGGAAGATTTTACCAAATTAAGCTTAAGTGTTTCAGGTGAATTTAAAAATTATGCCAAGAGAATAAAATGTATAAGTTTCTAGAGAAACTGTGATGCTGCGTCGGTGGGAGGGGAGGGGGGGGGTTTATAACAGAATAATTCGGTTTTATCAACTGATTCGATAATGCAACTTGACCACCACAAAGGGTTTCTAGAACTGACGTTTCAAGCTTCAGTCCTTCGTCAGAGAAAATGACAAAGGGCTTTTAATTGACGAAGGATCAACGCTCGAAACGTCAGCTTTAGAGACTCTTAACGGTGTCAAATTTACATACACCAAGAGAACACGAGCAGTTTGTCTTCTCTTGATTACGCCCCATCCAAAGGGGCTTTTTTCTGGTCCAAGTCTCCTTAAAAACCCGCAAATTTAAGTGAATATGGCGCACGCTACGCGAAAGCCCAATGTACCGGAAAAACAAAAGGTAACTGAAACACGCCCATCTGCTTACGGTTAGATTTAAGGAAATAATAAGATTACGGATATAAATTTATGTGATATTAAATGAACAAGATTAACTAACACGGAAAGAACGCATCTTTTTTTTTCTAACGTCATTAATTTTCCGCAACTCTGTGTCGATGGTTTGTATATTCGCAATAACAATTTGTGAGGTCCATTTTGTATGCATCAGGTCGCTAACATAACGTCCTTAGCCCAGAAGAACTTATTTTGTTTTTGGTTTGAAATCTACAGAAGTCGTTCATAACACACTTGATATGAAAGATAGCTAACGCAGGATTTCCAGCTGATTTTTTTTTGTTATTCTTTTAGCTCTACCCACCGCCCGAATCAAAACAACTGACTCCAATGGCCCAAATTCCCCTTAAGTATGAATCAATTTAACTGCTTTGAAAAAAGTTCTCGCAAGAGTCATACAGGCTGGCGACTTGGTGGGTGAACACATTTATCAATAAAAAACAAGGATGCTTCAAAATCAGCTACTTATGATCAAAATTTGTACCCCCACTGAGATGAGACGTAAATTGCAGTTGCCGACACTAAGCAGTTTTGTTTGGTTTTAATTTCCTTTACCCTACTGAGATAAACTTTCCATACTTGAGATTCACTTTCAACAAATGCCCGTATTGCCCGTTTTGCGCTTTGGACTCTTATACCTGGACTTCACACATGCCATACGTGGCTGGCGAATTCCGAACCAATTTTTTATAGTCGCATCACATATCAATATAATTTTTTTTAACTGGGGCAATCGATGAATTCGAAGGAATGTTGAGATAGAGCAATCGATCTGACCTAACCAGTTTCCTCATAGAATCCCTCAATGAACCCTCAATGACCCAAGGGAAGGACTGAGGAGCCTGGCTTCCGTTTGTTAGAATTTCGTGAGAGGTCTGGCAGCTAGTACTGGTAGTGTCGCCATATTGAAAGTGGTAAAGTCACAGCGTAAGCAGGATCGTCAGTTGTTTATTTGGTTTATTAGTTCGTTAGGACGGATAGGTATGAGAAATTATGTTTTTGTATTTGAAAGAGGCTTTAATTTTCATACTTACGAACATTTTCCCACCCTTGACGCACATATGAAGAGATTTTGTGGTTGTTAAACTGTTCTCAAATATAATTTGTGTAACCTGTGCTGTTTAGCCTGTTCAATAAATCGTTGCTCCTGGTTTTCATTGGTTATTGGTTCTGAATTAGCTTTTGAACTAATGTTAAGATAAGTAAGTTCGTTTGAAACTCGTAGGTTTTTATAATAATTTGGTTTGTTCTTTCTCCCAGGAATATGTCACGAGTTGTTTTGCCCCATCCAAACAAAGTCCACGTATTTCTGTCTAAGCTTTTGGGTGGGACAATGGTTTTCTGGATGCTTTGGAGAGCTAAACACGATTGGGCTGACATAGTGGTAAGCAACATGCTTGGGCCTTATGGAGTAGAGAAATGTTTGGAAAAAGCTATTAATACAAAAGTGACATCTGAGCTGAGTCTAAAACAACTTTTGGTACTCACTTGGTTGATATCTCTTTTTTTCTTTTAAGTCTGTTATGCCTAGCTTATTTCTGTTTTTGTTCTGACTAACTCTTTGTTATTTACTAGTTCATGCATGTGATTAGGTGCAATTATTTGTCTAGTCTGTGGAGGCATAGCTCCATTACCTGAAGATGGAAAAGAAGCTATGGGCTCCTTTACTCCAGCTCACTCCAATTATTATAGATTAGACTTACCATGAAAAATCTGATTGGTTGAGAGTATTCAATCATTAAACAATAGCATGTGAAGTCGAGTTCAAAGTCTGCCTAGTTTCCAAACCCCTTGTTAGTGTAGTGATCTCAAAATTTTGCTAACTCAAAGAGAATTCTTTCTTTTGCAGATTATTTAAAAATTTATAATAAAACAATTCTTGAATTTGGTTTTTGTGTGATATCATGAATTATCAAACCTTCTATTTGTGTTATCTACCTCAGTCTTTGGCTTCAGTAGATAACTCAGACCTCAGTTTTTACAATTCATTATATCATGCCCAACCTCATCCAATAATTGCTTATTGATTAATGCACCTGTCATAGTTTAAAATTATTTCAGTTTAACATGATATCAAATTAGTTTGATTTGTATTTCTCTTTGTGTGAAGATCACAGAAATGTTGGTAGAACAAAGGACAAAACAAATAAAACCAGAAAAAATTCCCTTTGAACTGAAATCATTTCATTACTAAGTACTTCTTACCCATCATCAATTCTTTCTCTGGAATATCAACTGGATGTATTTGTGTTATGTTTGCAGGGGCACAAAGTTATGTTTGAGATGGAGGATGCAGAAAAAGCAAAAAAGAAGGGACTGGAACATCACTGATAAAGTCATAATCTAGGAACATTTTGCTTGTCTTGTGGACAGTTAAGGTACTTTTCTTGAAAATGAAAAAATGGAAGTGGATGCAACAATTATTGCAAAGGGAGATTGATCAACTGTCACAAGCTTAAAATGGATAGTGTTTGGCTTCATGTATCTACAGCAGTGATGCAGTAAATTTGTAAATATATCTTTTTATTTGGGATATTTTGTCTTGGTTTGTTTACTTCTCCTTCTGGTAGTATGTAAGACTTTAAGTCATCCCCATACAATAAAGCATTATTCTTCAGTTCCTTCCTAGAGAAGGGCATTAGGATCTTTTGACCATTTCTTTGATTTTGGTGTAGCTTGCTGAAAGGGTTTGCCATCTTTTTCAGCGTTATGTTTTTAGTTTTCTACCAAAAGTGTGAGCTGTTTTTCAGATGTGGTATTGTTTATGCTTTTCTGAATTAAGCAATAGTGAAGCGTATACAAGGTACAACTGGCTGATAGTATAATTTGCAAAGATTGTTGTGAGTTTGTTGAAGGTACATATACCAGAGAATGGCAGAGATTTTTGATAAAGAATCAAATTACTTATTTTGCCAAAATCTCTGACAACCTTTTGAGACATTTTATGTAATTAATGAAAAATTATTTGAACAAACTTGCATGCATGGCCTTCAGTACACTCCAATCAGTGAGACATGGTTCACAATGTGTTTTATACCTGATATTGTAATGCTTTATTGCACACTGGATTAAGGGAGTAAAGATAATTCGGAAGTTGTGAAGCTCAATTTTTATTACACCAAATTTTGCCTAAGGTTGTAGCTTTACAGGAAGCTTTGCATGTCTTGGGGCCAGCCAAATAAGTTCCCATTAGGTGATCAAAAATTGGGGAAAATTTGTCATCAGTTTTGGTACTTGGAAGCTAAAATCACTTGTAGAGTTAGTTATCTTGAAATTACTGGTGTGTGGTTGGATTGCATATGAACTGGGTTATTGGGACACGAAGTTTTGGCTTTACTGGACAGGGCAGAGATGATGTTTTATCTCACTTGTTCAAGCATGGAAATTAACATTCAAGCTGGTATTCAAAAGGTTAACAGTAGTGTTATAGCTCTTCAAGCAATTGCATACATATTTAATTTTTTATTAAAACAGCTTGCTGAAAATGATTCCAACTGTGGAAAAGACTGAGTTGAACATAATCTCACTTAAATGAACACTCAAAATCTAAATTCCACTTGTGAATAGACCCACTTTTACAATTAATATTTCTTAAACCAAAGAACCAAGTTAAACAGCATAAATTAGTGTACAGTCTTTTCCCTTTTAAGAATTTACTAGCCCTCTATGAATCATGACATAGTTTCTTGTCACTAATATTTTTAACTCTATAAAATTACCACAGCTCTCAGAGGGATGTAATCTTAAGACTCTTACAATTATTGGAAGTATTCTCTCAGAAAGTTCACTACACCACATTTAATTAAAAAAAAAAAATGAGTGCATGTCATATTTATCAAATCATACTGCTATTACAATAACTAAATTTTTTTTTTTTGGAAAATGAGTATACTCAACCCACCATGTTACCACTGATTCAAACATTACAGTAAGAGGCTTCAGATTTATATTCTATTCATTTTACAGTGTTATGTACAGCTTTAACCTCTTTATACTCTTCTGAAAAAAAAAATTGTGGTTGAGTTATATTTTGTGAAAAAACTGCTAGTCCTAGTTATGTAAAGTGTGCCACTGTGCAATTGCTCTCCGTGGCGATGCTAGCATGTCTGTCCAGTGCTGCCGATCCGGACCTGTTGACAATTCACCTACAACACATTTTCCAATCACTTCACTGCGACCAACTCGATCGTAGTCCAACACAGAGATTATCAAAGAAGTTTGCTCTATGTTCTCAAAGGGAACTTGAAAACTAAAGTTCTCATTGAAGTAAGGGTTAAGAGTCCTCTTCTTGACAGTTGTCTTTTTCTTCTTGAGTTTCCGTCCATCTTGAATCAAGGCTATTTTGACATAAGGATCTGTAATTGCAAGAAGGTAACTTAGAATTAGGATGTTTCCAAGAAATATTTGCATTATTTATTGCACTAGTGTTCAATTCCTAATAGAGATCAACAGTTCTGACTACCATTTAGGATAATCTTTAGTGTAATTTGTTGTATGGTTGACAATGATCAACTCTGTGACTAACATGTGATAGCTCTTAAAAATCTTACCAGAATTGTAATTAGTTGAATTATTATCACAACTGTCAAACCTTACAAAGACCATATTTCAATGCCCCAAACTACCACTGGTTTGGTCACCATGGCAAATTAATAAACTTTTTGGCTGTTTGTCCATTTGGCATTTAGAGTTTCATTTTCTTTGAGAAAGCTTTAACACTTTTATCATGGTCTTTAGAAGTGTGTTAACCAGTGTTAGACAGCCTTTAAACAAGCTATCTCATTTTTGTAATATGGTATTCATGCACTTAAGTCAAAATACTCTAAATGAATTGCTTAAAAATAATGACATCAAATAATGCCCTAAATGACTTCCTGCCTTTCTTTCTGGCAACTAAAATTTTATTTCTGGCAACAATTTTGTGCTTTTTGCTCACTGAGTTTGAGACAGGTTGAGCTTAATGCCCTGTATTTCTAACCAATAATGGTCCAGGCAAAAGATTGTGTTTATCAGGTTCCTTACTGAAATGCTGACAGTGGTGACTAATGAGTAACCACAGTGCCAGGAAAACCTCTCCCCCAACCCCCTCAAATCTTCGTGAGAGGGAAGGGGATTAATGCGAATCTAGCAGTGCTAATAATGAGCGGCCTGCTTGAAGGCTAGTTTAAGCCCCTCAAAGTTTTCTTAACTGTAGAAAGAGCAGCATAACTAGAGGTTTTTTAATACTCCCACCTGAATAACCTGTCACATCCATACTTTTAAGATCTTTAGCTTCTAATATTACCACTTGAAGTTTACCAGTGGCGGGGACATAACGCAATGAGAAACAAAGCTGGCCTAGTTCAGACTTGGGAGGCTAGAAAACGTCAACAACAACAAGATCAAGGTGAAAAATCAGTAATTCTGTTACATAAATGTAAGAGTTTAAAGTCTGTGGAATTGTACATTAATAAGGATACTGTTTGGTTTAGTAGTTTAGTAAAGTAACAATTTACTGGAGTGCAATGGGATAATTTTACTTTGGTTGATGGCACTGGATTTAAAATCTGAAGGGCCCAACTTCAAATGCCTCACTCTACCACTCGAAGCCATTTGTTTCTTGGAAGTCCTGACTTCACTTTAATTTCTTTTTTGCCTTGCTTTGTAGAAAGCTAGCTGGTGTAACTTGCACCAGTGGGGATATTTTTAAAACAATTTGGAAGAACAAATTACATGCACAAGTGTGTATTTTTTTTGTTTTTTTTTGTTTTTGTTTTGTGCAGCCTTGATATGGGAACTCACCCCAGTAAGTCCTCTTGAAGATGATGGTGGAATTAGAGCTCGCCACTCGTCGATGCTAGTAGCTAAATCTACATCAATTAGAGGGAGCTTGGCTTCTCCAATGATATCATGTCTAGAGAACCGATCAAAGTCATACAACTCTATACAAAGAGTTCTATTTGTTATGTCACTGTAGGGAATGTTCTTGAAAACAAATGTTTCCTTGAAAACTGGATTTAGAGTCTTCCGGTGAACCTAAAAATTTGAAATTTCATGAGTAAGATTTTCCTCAACTTCCTTAATTTACAGTACCATTCGTATTCATGTATTGTATGGGTTGCCTGTGCTCAAACATACAATGTTTTGGCATAACTGTAAACTGAATCACTTCACTATCAAGGGTTATCAAGGGTGAACTTGGACCAAGTGGACTTCTAACGATAGGACGAGAATTGGAACAAATTGAGGTTGGTACCCTTCAAAGGAGTTTTTTCATCTTCCTCTAGCCAGGCAGGAGAAACAAGAGCAAAGCATGAACTATAGAAAGTCATAAGGCACAAGCCAAAAAAAAAATTATGCTTCTTTCTCCCCACACTGTTAGTCAACTTTTCTTGGCTAAATTGAACTGGAAACAACTACTATGTTGGCAACAGTCCCTGTTGAAAGCCATGTTGTTTGATTACAGAAGTTTACCAGAAAAGGAAGATCTGACCATGTTAGTGTCCTGTTTTAAATTTTTATCAAAACTTTTTCCCTAAAAAAAGTTAGCTTGTTTGTTACCTTAGTATCAAATTTCTTTTTCCTGTCTGGTAACAACATAACTCTTGCATATGGATCAGACGTTCCACTGAAATCTTTAGCTGGGACATCCTGAGCTTCTATTACCTCAACTGTGAGATAGTTATCATTGAAGCTATAGTCGAGGGTGAAGTGAATGCGGCCTGGAAAAAGAATCAAAAGTCAAGCCCTGCATGTCACTATGATGCTTTGTATGTCATTATAATGCACTTCAAGGATAAAGTGAATCAAGTCTAGGAAAAGAATCAACAGTGACCATTATACCATGTCTGTCATTATACACCGAATGCAAATATGGCATCCAATTTGAATTGCCATTGTTCTGGACTCACTAGCTTCATCTTCACATGGAAACACAAAAGGATTATTACATGTGTGAGAGGCTAGTGAGTCCAGAAAGATGGCAATTCAAATTGGATGCCATATTTGCATTTGGTGTATTCTAGAGCCTATCTTGTTACTTCTTTGCTGTCTGTTTTATTACTCGCACCAGCCTTTAACTTGTATTTAACCTTTTCGCCTCAGTTAGAGGTTCTTGAGATAAAATTAACACCAACCATGTTTTTGCATGTTCAAATTATAAAATCATACATCACAATTTTTTTTGCCCTTTTTGATTTACCTATCTTTACTCCTGAGCTGCCATCAGACTGGAATTCATCACTGTTATAATCTAACTCATCTACAGATGGCTGAACTTTCTCTTGGTAACTGGCAGCCAGCATCTGTACGGCTTTCAAGTCAACCTTCTCCTTCACAGCTTTTTTCTCATCTTTCTTTTTCCTTTTGCAACATTGACGATAGCAGACACAGTAACAGCAAATGCCAGCTATAATGAGCACTAACCCACCAGCTGCAAATACTGCCCACCATGGTACTGTAAAAGAAAGATGTGGCAGTAATTTAAGCTTGAGTTCTTTATTTTGATTTTGGTTTCTTTTCATATGTATGGGATATTTTTGTTTGCTATGTTTGAGTCATCTTGACCTTAGAATTGCATGACATGGAAAAGTGTGAATAAGTCAAAACTTAGTGCTTAGATTTCCTGAACAAGGCAAATAAAATGCTCAGGACCATGAGTTAATTGCTTCTCCCATCAAAGTTTACTCTCTTAAAAAAAAAATGAAATTGAGGCATACTTCCTTCAAAAGTTGCTTCCTGAGGCACTGGAGTCATACTTTTTTGTGGCTTGACAGTAGGTGTAGTAGTGGCTGCAGTGGTAGTTGTTGTTGTGGTTGTGGTGGTAGTAGTGGTGGTGGTTTCTTTTACTGCTGAACCTGTCTTTGGCCCTTTGCTGTCTTCTTTATCACTTTTGTTGTGTTTCACAGTTCGGTTGGAAAGTGTTGTAATTCCCATATGATCTCAGTGGTTCTGAAATTGGAATATGATATGTCAGTCATACATTGAAACAAGTGTGGTTGCACATGTTGGAGTAAAATCTTCCAACTTTTCGCTGTACCCGTTGAAAATGATAAACCAGGTTGAATCAGAATCATTGTTCTTGGTGTAGAACCACTTTTAGCCGTACAGTTGATGTAATCTGTAGCTGGTACCAGACCTAAGAAACTCGTCACTTGAGAAATGTTTCTGATGCTTGTGGATGTAAACAGTATTTCATCAAGTGTGGGTTCAAAAACTGTTCAAATTTTCATGCAGTTCAGTCGAGAACAATACAAACATTTCAAGCTTCAAGTGATCTGAATGAAGATAGCCAACACCTACTTTAATGTTCTGTGTGTACTTCATTGCGCATTGTTCCAAACAGATGGATGAAATCGTACCAAGAGACCACTTGATTTTAAAATTAAGTTTTGGCATCAATTTCAGCGTGGATGTTTCTAGTGTTTAGAGCAATTCGTAAAACAAGCAACCGAAAACCGTTACATTTCAAACACAACAATGGAATATAAACAAAATTCGTGAGAGGTTTAATAGATTTACATTAAATTCGTCACGGGTCGTTTCGGACTATTTCACGCTTGCACGCGAATGACGATTCTTAAACAAAGCAATGTCTTGAATAATTTTACGATCCGTTATTTTCAAAGCAATTCACTCACCAGTTGTGGGAGAACTTGGCCGTTTTTTCGTTATCGTTCGTTTATTACAACGAAACCAGATCGCAAACAACCATTGTAACGGTTGTGACTCTAACAGAGAGAATTATCATTTTTCCCGCGCCGATTTAAAAAGCTGGTGGAAAGGACTGGTGCGAGAGCCGATAAGAAATACATCTACTACTTTGAAAATAGTAAAAATAAAAAAAAAAAAGAAATTAGGTCGAACGTGCTGTTTTTTTCCCCAAAAGGGAAATACTTGCCAGATGTAGAAGAATGTTGGTAATGATATAGATTTCTGTTCTTGTGACAAAATAAGATACTTTTGAGATATTGTTAGGTTGTCATTCGCCCGTTAAATCTGCTTCCACACGTGAAAAACTGTATTTAGTCTTAGATCGGAGAGAGGTCATTTTATGGGGAAATCGACTTTGATATTCGGTTATCAGTACGAGTATTTAATGGCGATATATCTCGTCCCTCTACCTCACAGGAAATTAGTTGATTTTCCGCTAGATCGCGATCATCATTGCATGCGTGAATACATTCTAGAAATTGTGTGAAAAACGCAGCGCTAATAATGCGTTTCTGTATTGCTCTTCCGCTAGCTACTTAAGTACGAAACAGTAAAAAGTTACCATTGGAAAAAGCTTTATATCAGTAGCGTTAACGCACGCAACACCCCGTTTACCGACTGTTCAATTGCGTGAAACAGACAGGTCAATACGTTACCGGTCACAAGTGGTATCCAATGTGTTTATCTTGACTTCGTAATTACGCTGATGATTTCTTCGAGATATAAACACCCATGAAACAAACTATACCTCAGTGAAAGCCAAACTTTGCAAACCCAAACTGTTTTCCTCGAAGAAAGATCAAAAATTACCGTCTGAAGGCTGCCATGTTGTTTCTGTAACATGCGGTCGAGGGCATTTTTGTAGTCTGATCTAACGTTGTTAGAGATAAACCCTTTAAATATTTAATCGTCCACGAGAATGGATGTTCAGCTCGGAACATTTGTTCTATTACTGCATCTTGCAATTGCTATATTAGACAGATGCCTTGCAAAATTGATGCATGGTTAGCGGGAAGTTATTTTAGATGATTTTTTTCACGCACGATTGGATTAGTTTTTCTGCATTGAGGTATAACAATAGGATATCGGGAAAAAGTAATAACAATTTTGTTTACTGTTTCTCAAACGCAGCTAGATTCCATTTAGTGTCTGTTTGCATCAAGCAATTGTGGCTCAGATATTTGAAATGATTGCGTTGTTCTACATCAGTATAGCGACACATACTGGATTGAGGGGAGAAGAGAGTTTTAGCGAGGTAGTGCTTTAAGTTTAAATACCCCTTTATCGTCAACACTCAATGTGACCAGAGAATAAATCACACTCACCTTTGTAAAGGCTGCATGATTCCGTCTGTTGAAGAGTCAAAGTCAGTGAAAGTTAAATAGAAACTTAAACTAAATTTTTTCAAATAACAGCGGCGATTTCTGAAATTTCTTTGAGGCAATCGAGATCACACACAAAACGGGTGTGCGCGACTGGATCACAGTTCAAAAGAATCACCTTCCTTGGCCCAGACGTTTTAAGTTTGGCTGTAATGATGCAACTCATTACTTAGATCCTGTGCATTAAAGAGTGCAAATGTTCTTTGACAGGTGTTTTGTTTAAGGGGGACAGGAATTTAGAATATAAATAAGATCTTTAATACGCCTACCCATTCACGTAATTGAGACAGTGTTGGTTATTCAGATGCAAATTAAACACCAATTTAGTGTCTTGCGAAAATTTCACTCATCACGATCGACATCGATACAGTTATGAGCAATATTGTAAGTCGTATATGTGAACGATCCTTCGCAGTAAAGCACTATTTGAGCAATAGTGAAAATCAGACCTGAAAAAAATTTCAGGCCTGTACGGGATTCGAACCACTGACCTCTGCGATACTAGTGCAGCGCTCTACCAATTGAGCTAACAAGCCAACTGGGAGCAGGCCATCAAATTAATTCGACATAAACCCGTAGATGGTTGTTGTAAGTGTTGACCTAGGAACGTCGGCGATTGGCATATATTCTACGACGGTTCATAAAGATTTTATCGCTTTCCTGTACGGCCTCTCATGATCGCATCAAAAGTGCTATTATATACTACGCCAAGCTGATGTAATTAACTTAAGGAAGTAGTTTATTTTGCAGAGTGGAAAGTTGATCATTTAAAGCAAATCCGACTTTTACAAAACATCAATATTTTCGAAAACCAAGTTCTATTGAAAGGTAGATTTCCTTCTGCGGGTAGTGTCACGTGCGCCAACTGCTTTCTGCTAGTAACCTATCATAACGTGTATTTCGTCATGGATTGCAAAAATCTTCCAGAAAAAGAAAACTCCCTCAAAGGTGCTAAATTTACAGACTTCTTATCTACTCAATACTGTGCCAGCATAGTTAACTATGGTGCCAGGTTCCTTGGAGTACTTTGTTATTATTTTGTTAGAGCTTAATATGGTTGTTGTTGACGTTATGGTTAAAATAAAAATCAAAAGTTGCGCGCGTTCCCGGGTTTATTTTTTTGATTCTGTTTTTCTAGTGTCGGAAAAATGGAAGAAATTTTATTTTAGCCGGTACTATCTGGAGCAAAGCATGTTCAGGATATGCGAATACTACGTGACGAATTCCTCGTATATTGTTTCGTAAACCGGACAAACTAGTTATGGCGGGCTAAGCATTTTTCTAGAAAAAAATAGCGCGCGCACATACCCTCAATGTTTTTCAACCTAAATGATTATGTGAAGAAGTCACAGTATTTTCATTTTTGAAAGAGCAATTAAAGTTTTTTGTAGTACTAAAAAAACAAATTTGTTGTAAAAACTGATATCAAGAAAATACATTGGCCACGACTCGCACAATAATGTTAATTAATTCTGGAAAAACGCTATCGATTGTGCTACATGCGAGATAGGTTTGATGAAACGCCGATGAAATCGTTGGTTGGAGGTAAAATACTCAAATGAGAAAACGGTTTGAAAGGGACGCTTTATATACATGCACGGTAATTTCATCTTGGTCGAGACGTGAGTTACACATAATGTATGCGAAGGTCTTAGCAAACTTTAAGATTAAAACTATCAAGGTAAAAAAATAACTAGTTGAAGGCTGAAATCTTGAATTCCGTTTCAGAAGGTGGCAGGTTGACAATGGCTAATGACGGAACTATCTCGTGTCACCAAACAAGGTGTAAATTATCAGCTATACTGGATGAACGATTTCGCCGTTCCCTTACCTGCGGATCGTAGTCCAGACTAAGAAGTACTCCATCACTGACTTAAAAAATTTACCTAAACAATTGATTACAACGGAATTTTTCCGATATTGAACCTCACTATTTTTTATCTTTGCTAGCGAATCGTATTAATTTTTTTTTAGTATTTGAGTAAAGTTCGTCAGTATCAAGCGACAGTCGTTTACATTTCCAGATTCCATAACTCGATTACCAATATAGCCGCCTACCCGACTACTGGCAACACAGCGCAACAACAATCATAAAAACTGCAGTGGGCGGCGGGGCTGGCCATAAAATTGTGGGAATTTTTTGGCAGAAAAGGGGCGAAAAGTATGGCGTGCAGAAAATTGAGAGCTACTTTGCCCCTTTTTACTAGGCCTTTGTTTTCGTCTAACGTTCCCAAAAGGTCACAAACTGGTAGCCCGCCTAGGCACGCAAGGCCTCATGATTTTAGGTCCAATAGGGCGTGACCTTGTTACTCCCCATTTACCAGATCTCAGACTCTCAGTGCTGGTTTGCTAGTTGTAATCTTCGTTAGCAGAATTTGTCTTTTATGGATGACTGTTTTCAGTATCAATTGCTGAAAATTCACTGGGTGACAAATGTCCAAAATACCTCCAAGTTTAATAAGCCAAGTTAAAATTATGTCATTTGTTGTATCTCTAGTACTAGTCTCTCTAAAGTTTGAGTCGGTGCCAGGCTGCCACAGGCCTCCGCGGCGATATCAACATTTGATGCCAGTGCCTAAGTGATTCTCCACTGGTTGCTGAGCCTATCACTACTCGGCCAATCACATCACTTCTTGTGGAAACCGATTTAGCGTCAGCAACTGATATGACAAACAGTACCCTGTGGAGGAGGCCTGGGGGGACGTCAAACATCATACACTCATTGTAAACAGGATTGGATTCCTGTTTCCTTGTGGATGTTTTCTTTTTCTTCACTTTTTTGCCATCGAATAAAAGTACAACTTTTATGAAAGGATCTATAAGATTAACAAAAAAACGTGTATCATGGATTGGTTTCAAATGTCAGCGAACGTTAAGTTGTAAAAGAGGCTCTTGGAAGTGTTCACGTACCGAGAGTTGGAATCATTTCAATCTGAGTAAAACGGGAATACATTGTTAAAAGTTGTAAGTGACACGGCGCAGATCCAATTCAGTGCTGTAACGTGTTTTGCCTATGCACGATAATCTGAGTCAATAAGGCGAAATTACAAGTAAACGCTTCCGAGTGGCCATTCCATCCGTTGTTTCATCTTTGAAATAATAGTTATTTTCAATGAAAGACAGATGGTGGAATCAGCCCAAGATACTTGTTTTGTTTTTGTTTTTGTTTTTGTTTTTTTTTTACTTTGTTTCTGATTTTTTCTGTTCTTATAAGTTATTACAATCACAAAAGAACGTAAAGACGAACTCAAGACAGTGGGGAATACAAACCAACAACAGAATACCTACTTATTGGTTTTGACTCAGTGTTCCAGTCACTGAATGGTGGACTAAGGTTTCTGGCCTTCATCAATACTATGGACATCCTCTCGGCAGTTGGCATATAACTGAGGGAAAATAAAATCTCCCCAAGATTGGCCTTTGTCTGCGGAAGGAGAAAGAAGATTCATTACTAAAAACAGGGAACAGAGTGCTTATACCCCCACACCTAGCTCTCAGCTGGTTTCCGTGTTTTGTTTTGTTTGTTTCAGCCTGCCTACCGCGGTAGCATGACAACTTTGTGTCAGTGAGTTAATCAGTCAATCAATCAGTAATTCATTCATACACTCAGTCAGTCGCTCAGTCGGTCGGTCGGTCGGTCGGTCGGTCAGTCAGTCAGTCGGTCGGTCGGTCATTCAGTCAGTCAGTCAGTCAGTCAGTCAGTCGGTCGGTCGGTCGGTCGGTCATTCAGTCAGTCAGTCAGTCAGTCAGTC